ATTAATAAATAAACTAAAAATTCACACAAGGAAAAAAAAAGTTATGCTGGCATGCACTTGCAAACACAACCAGTATGATGCTAGCAGTGTCTCTTCAAACTATGGGCAAATTTCTGAAGGAAAAAATTTAAAAAGCTAGATTTTGCTCTGACTAATGAGACTGGACAAAGTCAGTGCAGAGTGTCCCATTTTTATTAACTCATTTACTCAGTATTTAAAAAAAAGAGAAGTGGACAATCCATATGTGACAATCTGTAGTTTTTACACACACCCACACATATATATAGAGATAGAGGCTGTATGCAGACCACCTTGAGCCTTGAGCCTATAGGCTTCTCTACACTGGAAGACTCTACATGGCACATCACTGCACACAGACTCCATATATAAGCAAGCATTTCCCTGCCCAGAGCACTGTCTGGCAGGAGGGCTGGATTTGTTGCTGAAGGCCTGCTTGTACTGGAGAAATGGGATCCATATACAGTGATTTTTCTTTTTCCAAACCATGTAGAGAAACAGAGCTGAAGCTTAAAAGGAAACTTAGATTTTAAAAGCATGTTATAGGATAACACAACCTCAGGAATTGGAGGGTAAAACAAAGCAAAACAAAAATACAAGTTATATTCTGGGGTTGGCTTCAGCTTTGGCACAGCTCAGCACAAAACAGAAACATAGCATTTCTGCAGCAATCCCTGTGTCAAGCCTGTAGCGGAGGCAAGCTGCTTCAAATCCAAGAGTAACTTCAAAGCATTCCCGAGCACCAAGGCATGAAGAGGAAGGCAGGTGGGGACGAGGCTCGTCTCCAGCACACAGCCCTCGGGACTGGGAAGCGAGCGCACCCAGGCACCTGGCCACAGCTTGGCAAGTCACAGAAATGACTAGTCGGCTGCACGCTGCCTCGCCTGTGTGAGGCTCACGAAGACCAAACATGCCGATTTAGCTGGTCCCAGAGGAGGAAAATCCTCACACGGATGCTACGGCCTCTGGCCCGGGTTCCTGCTGCACACCAGCCCCTTCATGTTTCTTGCATTGTTTGTGCCTACAGATCTCGCACATCCCCAAAAATGGGCAGTCTGTCCTGAGGAGTTTGTGCTCCCCATAGACAAGGCAAAGAACGAGAGGGCAGGGAGGCCCCCACACTGGCCTCCCAAGTCGTGCAGGAGGCCAACCAGAGTGCCATGTGGAACCCACAACCTGCATCACTCCTGGCTGTCTGGCCCGCAGCCCCCTCTTCCTCTCCTCCTTTGGCAGAGACAGGAAGATGGAAGAAAAATAAAGGGCCAACTGTAATAGAAAATAAAGGATTTTCCCCTAACTCTTTATTTCTCAGAAAGAAATCTGTGCCCTGAAAGACTGATCTGCAGCAAGACTTCTCCCTTACCCAGCATCTCTACTCTCCATCTCTCTTCCCAGCTTTTTTATCTCCATTTCAGAAGCACCTTCCACTGCACAACTGCCCATAACTCTTGTGCAAAGCTACTCTGCACAAATCCTCCTAAACCCTCCTAAAACCGAAGGGCTCTCAACTAGAAACCTAGTGCGAGAGAAGCCGTTGCAGGACTGCTGCAGCTCCTCCTTTTTTCCTAACAGCTTGTCTCCCTCCCCAGGCTGGAGCTCTCATTTGCCAGTTCAGCCACACAAAAGCATATGGTCAGGAAGCCATAGGCATGCAGCTCAGAGGGACAAATAGCTCTCTAAAGTAGCCTTAGTCTTACAACTTTATGCAAAGTCGAATATAAGAATAGATTCTCAAGAAAAAAAAAAAAACAGCTAGATACCAGATGTTTTCCACACATCTGCTTTAAAATAGCTGTGCTAGTCAGTGCTTTCATGAGCTAGAGCTTTAGGAACTGGCACCTTCAACAAACACATATTTTAGCATTAACCTGTGAATACACAGAAATGGTCTTCTCCATAAAGAAAATTCCCTTACTAGAGGGAAGTAAGAACAATGAATACCTAGGAAAAAATAGTGTTAGGACTTTGATCCTATGACACATAAACCCGCTCTCACCTTGAGGTCAACAGGGCTACTCAAAAGAGTTAAACACAGGGTTGTGCTGGCCAGACTTTGCACTCCTAGCACTTTTTGCTTCCTTCAATAAGGATTTTTATTATATCGATACGTCAATTTAGTGACTGTAAACAAACACCAACCTAATGGTTACGTTACTGGGCCAACTGAGAATGGCTCCTGGCAGCAGTTAATTGGTGCCCTGGAAGAGCTGGTAAGGGCACACTTGCTGAGCAGAGAAACTATTCATTCAGCCATAGTGGCTGAAAGGAAACATTACAAAATATTTTCAGTGAGGTTCTCGGAGTACTGGCTGCGAGGGGAAAGAATTGATATTCAGTTGCTTAAACCTGTTTTGAAAATCATTCACCAAACAAAAATGATCTTTTGCTCAACTGCATTGTAACCTGGGCCTCCAGGATCCCAGTTCTGCCGTTTGTTTGGACCTCCAGAGATGAAACCCATTGCAGAAGCTGGGTGCTATTTAACCAGCAGGCCTTTCTGAAGTGTGACTTTTTCTTCCCTGGAACAGGCACGCGCCGATTCCAAGGGAAGGGAGAAGGCAGGCGAGGGAGCAGTGTGAAGTGAGGTCTGTTTGGCCAAGCACAGCGAGCCTCGTGCTGCGGGCGCGAGGCCGGAGAGCCTCTGCCAAGCCCCAGGTTACGGGGCCCCGCTCCGAGGGGACAGGCGAGAAGCTCCAGGCCGGCCCGCGGGCCCTAGGACAGCCCTCCGAGCCGGGACACGCGCCCGGCCCTGCGCCCGCACCCGCCGCCCGCGCTCTGACGACACCGAGGGCCGACCTGTTGCTATGGAAATACACGGCCGCTTTAAGGACTATTTTTAAAGCAGAGAGGATACGGGGCCCTTTAGGAAACAGGATCCGTGTGGAGCATCCCGCTTTCCCCCCGCTGCTTATCCTCCCCAGCGCGCCAGCCCCCGGGGTGCCCTTTACGCAGGTGTCCTCCCCTCCAAGAGCAGCCTGGAGCCTAATGATTCACCTGTGTGACTCAGCGGGAGGCCGGGCCTCCGGCACAGGACTCGGCAGGCACCGGCCCACTCTCCCAGCAGGAACAGCAGCCCAATGCAGAGAGCACATTAATGTTACATAATTAAAACACACCCAGTTAAAAGCAACTGGATAAAAATGACACAGAAAGCTGTTTTATATCTAAATTTACATCAGTGTTGCACTTCACTTTAAAAGTCACCTCTGCTAAAAGGAGCTCGTGGCTGTAGGGCACAGTACTGGATCTAGTGCTTCGTGAGGGCTCTCATAAGGACCCCAGCAGGTGCCTTCTCAATGTGGAGCTCTAAAATCGCACCCAAGGCCCATTTGCCTGTTCTGTGCCCCTGAGCTTCGCTATTCTGAAGCCAATAGGTATGTAAAGGGCATGAGAGTGATTCCAGTGTTAGTGCCAAAGCGCCAGGACAACCCCTCCGCCTCTATTATGAGACATTCTGTAGAATTCTGTAGAATGAACTAAAGATTACATGCTTTCCATTTGTTTCCTATTTTTTAACCTACTTGTAACTGTTTCTTGGCTTTTAAAAACGCCATTTGACTACAGCTCTATTTGACTAGACCCAGCAGACTCGGTGATAGGATTTTCTTCAGGATTTTTCCCTGAAGGAGGAAGACCAGTTTGAAAGTTACCTCTATCAACTTCCACGAGGGGATAAGGCAAGGAAGCTTTTTGTCTGAAGTTTCTTCTGCTTCTTCTACTCCCACAATATCATTTCTATCTCCTATATTCGCTAATTTAAAGATACACAAAGCAGCTTGGAAACATAAATAAAAAAATGGGAAGGCTTGTTGTAGATGGTATTTCCAGATAATTTCCCAAACCCCTATCTCACCCTGAAAAGCCCCCTCACAGGTTTTATTAGATGTCCTTAGTGACAAAAAGGACAAGCTTCTGAAACCTCTAACAGACTCCATCTTGTTTTAAGCGTGTATTCTGGTATTCTGAACTACAAAACCTTCAGCTGTTGGAAACTCATGTGCTGGTGGATCTACACGAATAGTTTAGTTTGCTTGTGTCTAAACATAAGCATTAATCTCTCTCCCTTATTATGATGCAGCTTAACATGCTATTGTTTTTCACTTTAAAGCTGTTGTTGAACACATAAGCCAATAATGAGAAGTGAAAATCACAAGATTTCTTCTAAAGAAGAAATCAGTTATTCGGGCTCTTGCTCTTAAACCAGTCACTAGTTTTGGACTTGAACTCCCCTTCCTGCCAGCAGGCATCCTCACACCAGAACAAGCAGGTTGGATGCCTCTACCCACCATTCTTGTAACTCTCTTTCCCCACTTGCCCCAGAGCTTTTGTTCAGCTGGTATGAACATAACTGCAAAAATGCTGTTGGTATTCATTTCTATGGATCACCAGTTCCCAGTACCATAACACCTGTGAAGCTGCAGCTATGATCTCATCTCAGAATCACAGTGGCTTCTTGCTGGACTTTTTTGGTTGTTTTCTTTTTTTTTTTCTTTTTTTTTTTAAGGAGAAATAAAAAAACAAGACTTAAGAAAGACAGGTTGTAAAACCAAGACTACCTGAAGTTATATTCATGGGCTCCAATATGCAAACCTCATGGTGGTTCTAATTTGACTAACTGGTTTATGAGTCTCCACTTACGCTAACAACCACAGATTTTGAGTACATTGAAACAAGTACATTTCTTGACCTTCTCTTATTTCTTTTTAATGAACATTTTGCTCTTCATTCAAAATGTTAATACTGCAAAATTAGTAACTTTCGCTGATTGCAATTCTCCTGTCAGTTGACACATTTTTTTATGCCTGTAGACACTGCAAAAAAATAATTTCTGCAATTTAATTGTAGGATTTCGATTAGCACAGATATTCACATGTATCCTTAGTGTATCATTACCTGACTAGTAACCCTTCATTACTACATATCCCTGACAAGCCAGAAAGAACTCAGCAAATCCACATTAACTTTGCATGCACCACTACTACCTTCGTTGAAGTTGTCATCAGTAGAGATGTGGGTCAGGGGCGACTGGGGCCGCGAGTCCCCACACAAGGAGTAGCTGTGCTCTGCCTGGATGAGAGGCGCTGGGGAAGCCGGAGACAATTCCACTTCCATTATTTCATTCTTCTCAGATAAGAAAGGATCATTCAAGAGCTGGCCTAGGACATCTGATGAAAACTCATCCAGGAACTCTGTGAAGTGCTGTGGAGATAAAAGGGAAAAACTTATCTCCTTGCCTCTCTGTCACGCCAACAACAGGACAGCATTGATCCAAACAATTCCAGTACGCGCAGCAGGCCCCGTGCCAGGCAGCAGCAGGAGCCACCAGCCCTGCCTAACGGGCTCCGGCTCCCATCAGTGCTTCAGGCTCAAGAGCTGCAGCTGGAACAAAAGTCCTCTCAGAAGCAGGCATTAAACCAGAAGAGCCTATGATTAACTCACAGTGAAAACAGAACATAAAAGCATGGTAGCCATGTCCTGAAACAGCAGCCTTTTTTTTTTCCCCCCCCAAAAGATACTACAGCAAGTCACCGTTAATGGGAAAGCCCACTTCTGCCAGAAGGTGTGAAAAACCCTACGGGGTTTTTTTGTCAGAACACTCCATATGCAGAATACAATATATTGGGTTAAATGTTCACTGAGACACTGAGAAGAAAAAAGAAGCAAATACTCAGATATAAATTCTCTGCAACTAAGTACGGCAACTGCTGTAGCCAAAGGGTTCATACATGCCCCCAGCCAAGAAATCAATGCATTTGGTATAAATTGGAATTCCTAGCTGATACATGTGTTAATTTTTAAGAGGTAATCCAGACTAGAGCCAATATACAGCTTCTAAACTGCACAGCTGGAGCTCCTGATGGCCAACACTAATCACCACCTTATCTCTTGTGCTGAACCCATGACACTGACAGCGCCTGATCTGGCTGCATTCACCAGGAAGCTTGCATTCCTTTCTTATTCAAATGGAACCCAAATCAAATGCCCTGATCTACTTCCCCGAGACTCCAATTCCATTCCCACCAACAGCCAAAAACTTTGCAGCTCTTGTTCTATTCCCTTAAAATGCCAGAAGACTCAGTGCCCTTGACAGACCACGAAACTGCATTGATAGATGCCATTCCTAGAAAAACATCATAATTTTTCCTTGTCTCATTCACACAAAGAATTCTATTTTTGCACAAAAATATTTGTACAATGAAGTGTAACTGGATTTTCCAAACAATCAGGCATTGTCTACCATCTTATATAGGAGTCTTTGTCAATTGGGGCATGATTCCTATGAAAGGCCAAGCCTGTTATTTGCTGTTCTTGCAGGCGGTATTGATTTTGGCTCTTAGCGTTGCTCTCTCTCTTGCAGAAACACACCCTGAAATTCAAGGTTTTGCTTGCTGTAGACTAAAGTTAAGAATCAAAGTGGTCAATATTCTATGAATCAGTGAGTGAAGCAGTGTGGTGGCACTGCCATGCGTGTGTGTTTCATAGCTCTGGCATCACCACCTGCAGCCGGCTCCCCCAGAGCACCCAACAAGTTTGCAGACGTGCAGCGCCTCTTCCAAGACGCTCCTCAGAGCTAACTGGGCCTTCAGGCAAAACCAACACAGCCTCAGTCAAACCTGACAGACAGTCAAGGGACTGTCTGGAGATTTACTGAATGCAAGATAATAAAAAGGACTCCAGTTACTATCCCAGAATAGCAGGTCCCCTGAAGTGAAGCCTTTACTAATGGCCAAACAGATGCCTTTTCCCTTATTTACTTGCCATGAATGATAACAGTAGTAAACAAACTCAGATGACCGAGAATGAGGGTCATGACCACCTCAGAAACCCTTATTTGTTTTGATTTCAATATCCAATCCAAGGACTCACTAGTATTTCACATCCAGGGCTGCTTCCCAATACCTGCAAGGACAAATTTGTAAGCTAAAATTCCCAGTTTCCCTGAAAAATGGAAAAAGAAGGGAAGTTCAAAACCAGTAGAACACTCTTGTGCACCAATAAAGATACATTGGCTAAGACAGGGGCAACAGCTATCAAAATGTAACCAGGGACAGACACGGTTCCCAGCCAACAGGATGACAGAAAGGAGGACTGAACCTATGAAAAGCAATGCCTTTCTGGGAGGAAAAAAAATCATATAAGTCCCCACACTTCATTCAAGCTTGCAGCTAGAGCCACTTATATTTCTTTGTGTTTTTTTTTCCCCTAAACTTGGCTAGAATATTTCCTCTCTCCAATTCTTGCCCGCATATATTCTGACTGACCACTAGCAAGATGCAGAAATAGGGCTGCTACAACACTTGCATATTGGTTTCAAGACACAGTTCCAATATCGCCAGCACCATCTACTCTGAGGATGTCTTCCTGGGAAGTATCACATCTAAGAAGCAACCAGGTCGACAGACCCAGCCGAAAGACAAAATGACTACACGTCACTTGACTACTGTTGGTAACTTCACAAAACTTTATTTGTCTTCTGCATACTGCTATTTGATATCAAGGAATTTGCATTATTTGCTATTTTACTTCTTGGTTCAAATTTGGTATTAATTTAGATAAATATTTTCTTCTTTTGAATGAGGGACTTTTCTAAAACCAATTCAGGAAAAACAAAGGAGGAAGCAAGCATTCCACTTAAGAAGAAAAGAATTTGCAACCACAATGCAAGTGCCTGACAGTAAATAAATAGTTTATGACTTTGTAAATGGTTCTCTGACTTTGTAAATGGTTCTCTATACTTACTGGTATTTTATAAATCTTGTTCTCAATGGTGTGTGATATAATCCAGAACACTGGCCCATAGAAAAATCTCAAGGAGTTACCACAGGCTAGACTGTGCAACTGCTGGATTCAAGGAATAAAGCTGATTTTAGGGGTCCCGACTTCTTCTCACCCTACCATTACAAAAACAGTTCCGCTTGAGTTACAGGAATCTTTTACGGTGTTTGCATCTCTGCCTCCATTAGCATTGCTTGTTTTTTCCTAAGCAAACACTTGCCTCGTTGAAAGCAGCTCCATCTTCCTAGAGAATGAAAAAAATAGAAGGCATTTGAGCATTTGAGCAGCAGTTATAGCAGGAACTTTCAGAGAGCAGCCAGGTGGCCTCAGTCTCCACCGGAACTGCTCCCCTACCTCTGTGCAGAACGTGTCCTCCCATGGCCAGCCCTCCTCTGCTCTCCTCCCTGCAACTCCATGCTCGCCGTGGTGGTCACCAGTCAGTTCCAAAGCTGGAGAGCTACAACTTAAACATCAGTTCTGATACTGCAGCAACCACCTCTGCATTCAGGAACAGAAAACACTATGCAGGAGGAAGTGGAGACTTTCACATCAAATATCTATCATCTGGTGGGTAGAAATACTTTATCTAAGGCTTTTGGTCTGACATCTTACACCAAGAGAGTTCACCTTAAGAAGAAAACAAAAAGGAAAGAAGAGAGAGAGGGAGGGAGGAAAAATGCATTTTCACCAAAATTTGTCTTTGCTTTCTTTATCCCTCCTCCCCTGTAATAGCTCTGTGGATCTGCTCTGTTGCCAACCGCTCTGTTGCTGTCCTCACACTCCGCTGGCAACGACAAGGCTAATTACAGACATGTGCTGGTACAAGGGGTCCACTTGAATTATTAAACTGTTTTTCCTACATAGCAAAGGGATGTGTTTAGCTGAGATTTTAATCTCTGAAAGAAGCCAGGGCTTTAGGACAGAGCTAAGCTTATCTTCCCCTTCCCCTTCCCCCAGAACATCGAGGAGAAACAAAACACCAGTGTTCGCCTCTGCCGAGGGAGAGCGAGTTGCAGCTCCGGGGAGCTGTGCTGCCAATCTGCTTGGACAGCGTGCTGCCTTGCTCCTGCCTAAACCCCAGGCGCTTTGGGGAACACAAAACACCTACAGAGAGCAGCCGCCGTGAGCAAACAGAGGAGCTCGCTCGTACTGAGCACGCAGGGACTTTGGATCCCTCTTCGAGAGTCGGCTTTGGCCATGGACCAGCGGAGCCCCGGGCCGCAGCTCCCCACAGCATCCGCCTGCTCCTGTCAGACAAGGCCCCATTTCTCCAGGGCTGCCTCGCAGAGGGAGTTTTGCCTTGTCTGATCAAACAAGCATCTCTCAAGAAAACAGACTCAGGTTTGAGCAGCTACGTGGGAGCTCTGACTTTTTCACCATATGACCTGACGCCAGACCACAGCAGCACTAATACCGGTTATCTGAAGATGTCACATCACCAGAATTAAAAACGATGTGTCCCGAAAGTTGACTTTCGAAGAACTCCCTAAAGAAGTAATGAAGGCAGGAGCCCCAGACGACACCTGTACCTACACGTACATTGTAAGCAGTGACGCCCTTTGCTGGGCCTGGAGAAGCGCACTGTGAGAGCGAAGAGCCCCACACACTCAGCGTGGAAGCGAGCTCCTCCATGGGGGGCGGCACGCCGACTTTTGGGGAGAAGGAAGCAGAGAGCACGCAAAGCTCAAGGCAGCGCTCATGGAGGAGGGAGCACCGAGGAAAGAGAGGAGAAAGAAGAGCCTATAGACCAAACCCCGTCTGTGGGAAAATAAATCTGCACTGGAAGCATGAGTTTGCTTCCCCATTTCCTCTCGTATTAAGATAATAGGGAATCACTTTTTCTTCAGCAGCTCTGTTGTGGCTTACATGAATACAGGTGTGTAGGAGGAGTCCCCTGGCCTCACAAAAGCTTGTGGCATTTCTAGCTGATAGCATCAAACACATCAAAACGTGCGGCTGCGCAGAGATACCATCTCCTTTTCAAGGAGCCGAGCACACGCTTCACAGACACCTGGCAGCTGCTCATCTGGTAGCCGAAGAGGTCTGAGTAGGAGTCACAGCTGCCAAGGAGAGGCTGCCAGCACTGGAGCACCCAGGCGAGGTGCCAGTTGCTAAGGATGGCGCACACCTCACTGAGCCTCCACGGGTTCAGCCCTAGCCTTGCTTGCACGGCAGGAACTGCGGAAGGAATCACACACCTTGGCCGCACCTCCGCGTGCCAGGAGAGCAAACGTGCCCTTCCCCGTGAGCAAAGCACGTGCCTAGGGACACTGCCCTGCAGGACACAGCGCACGGTCCCAGCAGTGACAACCAGGCAACAGGGGAGCCCACAACTTTCCACACACCCATTCCCAGAAGTCAGCCCAGGCTAAAAAAACTTCCCCATGGCAGGTGTTTCCTTCACAGACACTGGGCTGTTGGCGCTGCTGACTCGTCTTGTCCAAGCTCACTGGTGCCGGAGAGGAGCAGTTAGTCTGACAGCTTCTGAGCCACCAAGACCCCTCTGTTCTCAGTGGCCACTTCATGTGGGCATCGGTTACTTTCCACATAGATATGGACACAAACTCAGCTCAGATTTTTAGGAATATGACTAACGTCAGTGGCTTCCTCTTCTGGAAGTCTTTCTGTTTGCAGCAGGGAAGTTGCCATTTTTCTCCAGACTCAGCCCTGTGTGCTATCATGGGAAGAGGCAGCGGAGGAGACCACGGCAGCCTCACCTCCCTGGCTAACTCACACGTGGCCAGCAGTGAACAGAAAAGCTCACCCACGGGCACCGGCTGTGTTGATCCGTAACCGTTATGAGGCGGAGCCCCAAGCTCCTGCTGCGTCGCTCCCGCAAGGATGAGAGGCAGAGCTCAGCCTGGGAGCAGTACCGTATTTTGTTCAGAAGATTTATTCCAAAGGTGGTGGCTGAATCAGAGAGCAGCAGCCCAGCCCCACTGAGTCATTCGCCAACATCCCCGCAGGGCACGCAGGTGGAAGAGGGGAAGGCTGTAGCTGCTCAGTTTGAGGTACCGGGGGTCTATCTCGGCTATGCACTAACGGGATGCAGGGAGGGACTCCGTCTGGCAGAGCGTACTGGAAATGAAGTCATGCAGCCACACCAGCATGAGAGCAAGAGCCGCGTTTTCAAGAGAGCGCTTGCACAAGCCACGGTATTAGTAAGCTTGTGCCTGCAGGCACAAATAACTGCTCACTTTTAAATGGCACACAGAGATATTCCCTGTCAGCCCAGACGAGGGTCAAAAGAGCTGGAACGGCTTTCGAATGACAGGAAAAATATCTTAGGTGTAGCCAGAGCAGAGGCTGCGGCCTGAGGCCGGTCCCCCCGAGCCATGCCTAAAACACGCTATAGGCAGCAGAGATTTACAGTACCCTGGCTCATGTTGCTGCCAAGGACAAATGGAAGGAACCTGAGATTTCTGGTTTTTTAATCTTCTCCAATGCAAAAACCAAAACCAACACACAGAGAAATAATTGCTCAATTATTTTACTCTGCTATAAAATTCTTTACTGTCTAGTCATTTAACTACACTGACATTGCCTCATTTGCAGGAAGATATGAAGAGTAACATGAAACTGGTATTTGAAAACAGCAAAGAGCTCCACCATAACAAGAGATATGATCATCTGGAGTCTCACACTAGCAATTACTCATTTTGAGCAGCAGAATTGGATGGATTAAAAAAAAATCAAGTAAATGAATAACATTCAGGTTGTGTCATCAGTGAGCAAATGCCAGGAAACTCAGAACTAATGGATTACACGCTAATTAAATCTACACATCTTCCCAACTTGCTCAGGTTACACAGCTGGAAACACTGAAGTTCATGCTGAACCTCCTAATCCTCCCCATTACACGCACACACATGCACACGCTTCCAGGGCAAATACTCAAGCATTTCCAACCCACCCTCAGCAAAGACATGTACTTATTTATTTTAAACAAATCAGGGCATATTTCAAGAACTGCCTTTGCAGTTCATCTTTCAAGACTGCCTTTATTTATGCCTTAGCCTTTCTTCGTTTCAAAAATTTTTTCACTTGCCCTAATCACTCCCTCCCCCAAAAAATGTATTTTCCTTCTTTAAAACATTCTGAAACTCTATAATTAGTGGGAGTAAACAGAGGTTGAGGAATCCTGCGCATACTTCTCGTGCACAGACAGCTCTTGTAAAGCACCCCAGCCCTTTGCACTTTTGCTTAGAGTCTGAGCTCTCAGCCGTTTCTCTCTACTTTTACGAAGAGCAGCACGCGCCCACCAGTTGGTGAGCAGTTGTCCGCAGACAAGCGTGGTGAAGGACTCAGGTGCAGTGAGAAAGCTCAGCTCGCGAAGCCCTTGCACAGGAGCTTCCCCGCACAACTCCAGAGAGCAGAAGGAAGAAGGGAGCCCTTGCAGAGTTGAGGCAAGGAGGAAAAAACCTCCTGAAGTTAGAGCACCTTAAGCCCACGGCCCTCGGAAAGAGAAAAGGATGCCGTGCTCATTCCTAGGACAAGTCTCTGGAGAGGCATCCAGAACAGGAAAAACAGTCTCACATTACCCTGCCCTCCTCAGCACATGATTCTTGGATCTAGTCTGATTTTCAACAGGCTGGGCGCATGTTTTTCTGTTTCCCACCCTTTCCCTGCAAGAGCTAGAAGCGGAGAGGGATGAGTCACTGGGTCAGAGCAGCAGGGCCCTGAGCCAGCGAGCTGGCCGCCCTTCAAGCAGCCTCCCCCCCGGGTTCCCGCTGCCACCTCAGGGTACGTCCCCGATGCGAAGCTGCAAGGAAGTGGCTGCGTTGCGCTCTCGCCTTAAGCACGGTCAGCTCATTTGTCTCCTAAATCACCTCTTGCGCCGTGGGCCCGGGAGGCAGAATTACAGAAACTCTGAAACTCTCCATGACTTTTCTCCTTAGCAAGAGCAATTTTGGAGGCCACGAGACACGCTCAGGTGCCAGGCCTGCCTTTCCTTAGCCTGCAGAGAGCCGAAGGCAGCGGCGAGTCCCTCCCGCCACCTCCAGCTAACGTGACTCATCCGAGACACAGGAGTGCAGCTTCCCAAACTGAGTCACTGGTGTCTTGGTGGATTCTGGCCCCAAACAAGATACTTGTACAGATCAGTTCTGGCTTTTGAAACCAGCTAATGAAGGAAGGGACAAACACAGTTTGCATGGGTTTATTTTTTTCTTTTGCATCCACTATGCTCCCTGCATAAAATGACGGTCAAAACCAGTTGCTGCGAGATAATAAACATCATTTGGTTAAACCCCAAATGTGCTAAACATACAGGCCCTTGGGAATGAACTTAGATCTCACTAGTGTCCTTGAGGCAATGAACCAGTGTCTTGCCAAAAAACAAGCAGTTAAGGAAAGCTTTCGGACAAGTTGCAACCTTCACCTACAAATTTTACTACTCACCAGTGGGCACTGAGAGCCTGGGCAGCCAGGAGAGCGTGTTTTGCCTTTGCACAGCAGCTGTTCTGACTTACTGCCACTTTTGAAATAAAACAGCTACTCTGTTTTCAGCGCTCATGTAACAGCATCACTTAGCGAAAGGCACACTTTAGCACTTTGCAAAGAGCACCATCAGTGTAACCCCTGTGCTCTAAATAACATCATTAGCCTTGCAGGTTATCACAGGGAGGAGAAGAGGATAACCATGGACACAACTCAGAAAACTAACAGTTCCTCATCTGGTCTCCGTGGGGGCAAAACGCCGTCCCCACCAATGTAATTCAAACAATGGCTACTCAAAGCGAGCAGCCCCGCTCGTGCCCCGCGCGCGGCGTCACCTCGCACATTCCAAGTGCTCACACAACAGCCTCCTCCCTAAGGACCAGGCCAGCAGTTTTCGAAGGAGGATCTTAAATGAGTCTGAACAGTGTAGGTAGGAAACAACCTCTCCAGCAGCAGAGCTTGCTGCATGCAGTGGCATGCTTGCCACTGATGGCTGACCCTACATTTAACATTTTTATTTTTAAAAAGCTTATCTTCTCCTTCAAGGACTTCTTCAACTCTTGCAAAGTTTAAATGTGGAGTTCCAGCCTGCTGGTCTATCATGCCTTCTTTTTTTTCTAACTCCGGCAGCAAAACTACATATCACTTGTCAAAAAATGTTTTTTTTAATTATAAAGTTGGCTGGTTACAATAAAATAAGTAAGGCTTTACTCTTGGTATTGGACAGCTAGGAGAGGGCAATTTATATCCCGAAAGAGTTGTTAGGTTTTGTTTTACAGATATATTTTTAAGACTGGGTTTTGGTGTTCATGCTGTGTAAAAGCTGAGGCTTGAAGAGAAAGGCCACAAAGTGCCTGAATGTTCATCTAGGTGCTCTTAACTTTTCAAGACTCAGACTCTCTCTTCAAGCACCCCATTGCAAACTCACCAATACGTTCATGGAAAACACAAACTAACTTTCACAGCACACTGCCTAATATTCACAGACATAAAATTTACATCATGGCTGTCTGTAAAATCCAGGGGAAAAAAATCACGTGTATAAACTTCCTTGAACTCCAAAGACAAGATGCTTGATAGCAGGGGAAGGAGAACAACAGAGAGGAGCGCCCTTGCAGAACAAATGTGAAGAAATCCATAGGTCACATTGCTTTACACTGGAGATCAGCCCTGCTGCCTGGTTCAGAGCTCAA